GCTACCTCGTTGACGCCGTCCACACTCGTTTTGAGTCTTTATCCTTGATTAGACTTTATCGGAGCCGTGCCCTGGGCCATCCAAGCCATTCAAGCCGACCGGTACCATGCAATACGTTCGGAGTATCAGCGGTTCCGTCTCCAAGACGTGGAACTCGATCAACCCAGCCACGTTGAGTGGAGCTATTGACGTGATCGTTATTGAACAAGAAGATGGTAAGAGGGAGACCAGTGGCTTTCTTGATGGGAGACCAGGCTAACAGATCTCCTCCAAGGAACCCTCGCTTGCTCGCCCTTTCATGTTCGTTTCGGCAAGTTCTCACTTTTACGTCCGTTTGAAAAGAAGGTGGAATTCAAGGTCAATGGTGTCAAACAAGACTATGCGATGAAACTGGGAGAAGGAGGCGAAGCATTTTTCGTCTTCGAAACCACGGACGACATCCCCGCATCTTTGCAAACTTCGCCGTTAGTTTCTCCCGCGAGCAGCCCAAAGGTCCCAACCGACGATCTTGAATCGTCCCTCCAAGAACCCGAACACCTGGATCTGGAGAGGTCGGGCAGCGATGCTCCCACCGAAGGTGCAAACCCTCCACCTACCATGTCGTTTTCACGACAGTCGCGGGCAACCACGGACTTAGGTATGATTGATTGATGCTCGATTTTCATTTCGTAGCGAATGTTTCTAACCCACGTGTCACCGCAGGTGCAATCACACCATTATCACGATCTCCAGCGGGGTCGGAGCTCAGCCCTGGTCCTTTCAATTCCAAACCCGCGCTCGATCACTCAATGTCGGAGAACATACTTTCAACTAGTGCCCCTCAATCTGCCCCGGGAGACCGAACTTCTGTGGCCAGCGCGGAGCCCACATCCGAGGACGATACAGAGCAAATAGATCGATCACGCAGTCCTCCTCCAGTGTCTCCTCAGGAAGCCATGGATCGTGCGATCTCCTTGTCCAAGAAATTATCGGGATCTAACATTCCATCCCATGTCAATGAGACCGGAGATCTGATGCTGGACATGACCGGTTATAAGAGCAATGAAGAAGATGCTCTCCGGGCCGAGATCTTAGCTCGCAAGATTCTGGCGGAAGAACTGGAAGGCAGCTACGATATCGGGGCCCTCATCGGTGCCGACGAGCATGGTAATTTGTGGATTTACGGCAGTGAAGAGGCAAAAGAGGCAGCAGATCGAAGAGCCACCATCAACTCAATGCGACCTGGCACAGCATTGAGCGAAGATGCAATTTCAGACCCCGGGTATCACAGTGAGGGTGACCATAGCCCATTGGATCCCTCCATGACAACACGCCATCATCGAACCAAATCTGATGTCCAACCTGGATTTCCTACACCTCCTCATTCCCCAATGCACGATTCATTCCCAGTTGAGACTCGCAATTACGCCAAGACTCTGCGCTTGACAAGTGACCAGCTGAAGGCTTTGGCGTTGAAACCGGGCCCGAACACCATGTCGTTCAGTGTGAACAAAGCCACTTGCACTGCAGCCATGTACCTGTGGAGTGGCAATACTCCGATTGTCATTTCTGATATTGATGGCACAATCACGAAGTAAGTTCATATTTCTCAGGAATATCACATCCCTCTTAAATAGTACTGACTGGCTCTCGCAGATCGGACGCTTTGGGTCATGTTTTAAACATGATTGGACGCGATTGGACTCATGCAGGCGTAGCCAAATTATATACCGACATTCTGAATAATGGCTATAACATTATGTACCTCACAAGTCGATCTGTTGGACAGGCAGATACCACCCGTGCATATCTCTACGGCGTCTGTCAAGATGGCTACCGGCTTCCCCGAGGCCCAGTCATCTGCAGTCCGGATCGAACAATGGCTGCTCTGAGACGAGAAATCTACTTGAGAAAGCCCGAGGTTTTCAAAATGGCATGTCTTCGCGACATTCTCAATCTTTTTTGCGGAAAGGAGAATCCTTTCTATGCCGGGTTTGGAAATCGGTTGACCGATGCGTTGAGCTATCGATCCGTGAATATCCCTTCGACGCGAATTTTCACGATCAACTCAAATGCCGAAGTTTCTCTTGACTTGCTAAGTCTGAACAAATACAAGAGCAGCTATGTGACTATGCAAGAGCTGTTAGATCACTTCTTTCCTCCCGTGAGCCTCCTGGTGCAATCTGGGGGTGAGGAATATACAGACTTCACATATTGGCGTGACATGCCTCAGGACTTGGATGCCTTTTCTACCACTGATAGTGAGGATGAGGACGAGGACGAGGAAGAAGAAGAAGACGATGACGAAGACGAAGAAGATGATGAGGAACCTGCCGAGGATGAAATCCTTGAGGAGGACGAAGATGCGGACGAAGAAGACTACGAGGAGAACTTAAGTGATGGCGAGGGCAGCGAATACCTAGACGGCGAAGGCACCGATCTCGGTGCAAGTCTGATTTCGCAAGCATCGGAAGCTCTTTCGCATCCCGCGGGCTCCATCACGGAATCTATGGAGGATGAAGAGGAGCTGGAGGCAGTGGACGAAGAAAATATCAACGTCGCTGCTATTACTCGGTTTTCAGGACCCCCCCGACCCAACAACTTCCACCACTCTGCCTATTCGACCCAAGTCACAGGAAACTTGAACATATCCTCATTGCGATCATGTATGCATTGAATTTGCCCAACTTTGGAGATGAGATACCCTGTTCAACACATTTGCATGCAGATCCGGAATTGAATTCTGCATTATACTAGTAGACAAATTCTTTGGATTCTGTCTATCTATCTGGCATCCATGGCGTTTGAAGTTTGGCTTTTTAGAGAATCTTTCTTGCATAAATACACTATCCATAATCGCATTTGAACATCGCTGCTCTCAATACTACTACGGATATAACTTTCATCATGATGCCTTCCGGGGTTCCTCATAGCTTTTTTGAAAACTTGGTGACTATTATTCGAGGTTTCAGGCCAATCACTTGAGCTGCACAAGCCCTGGAGTGAGGGCGCATGATGTCAAGGTTGCCAAAGCTAGTAACTTGATGTCTATTAGAACACGAAACCTCTGAGGTCCCTTTCGTGTTCCAAATTCCACGCTCTTTTGATTATCTCGTCGACCTTACTGGAATCGTCGAAGCCTCCATATATGGCAAGAGCTCTGGTCTTTCTTTCGATCTCTTCTCTGTCAGTGAAGTGAGATGTTAGCGTCGTAATAACGAGTATATGGTTCCTTGAACCTCTTACCTCGTCAAGGGGAGTTCGGGGTCCCCTTTCGCAAATTCTACAGACTCCGTGAATTTCTGACCCGATCTGCAAGTCACTATAACAGTTCCTTGCCACTTCTCGGGAAAAGCCGAATCAATATCTGCGTCTAATTCCATCGTCACTCGGTTTTGGAAGTCTCTTAGCGCGGTATCATTCAAGTCTTCCTCGGTGAAATCGGTGATCATCGCTTGGCCTTTTTTCGCTGCTATAGCGAGAACAAAGCCCATGGAGAACTTGCTTTGGTGAACAGTCTCTCCCCTTCCACTCAGACCCAATACGTTTAGAGCAGCTTGGTAGGTACGAGTCACGACCGATTCGATATCATCGAAACCAACATTGTTCTTTTTCATCAGGTTCAGCAACGCATCGACGCTAGGGTGGGTGTGCCGACAGGATGCATGCCATTTGAAGCTTGAACGAGACACCTCAAAGTCCACTCCGAGATTCCGGTCAATTGCTTCCGGGTTCGTGTCTCCAGGGACCAAGGCGACACCCATTGCTTTGGGTCCTTCAAGGATATCTCGAGGCCCGAGAAGACCATCACGGGCAGAATAAGCAGCGAAAATTCCATCAAAACAAGCCTTCCCTGTATGAACTTGTTTGGAATGTGTTGCGTCCATGAGGAACTGCCATAGACCTGCTGCTTGTGTTCCAGCTGTCCCGATTGCGGATAATGTTTGCTCTGCATTAAGCTTGAGAAGATGGGCTGTGGCAGCTGCAACGCCAATAACACCACCTGTTGCGGTGGAATGGAAGCGCTTGTCGAGCGTCAGTCATTTATTTCGAGTAGTAGAATGGATCTGCAGGGCTGATTTATATACCTCATAATGGCTTTTACCTAGAAACTCCCCTACTCTGCAGCCAACTTCATATCCAACCACGCATGCTGTGATGAATTCCTCTCCGCTAGACTTAAGGTCTTGAGCTACGGCAAGAGCAGCGGGGAAAATAACGGTTGCCTTAACACGAATTAGTTTCATTCCAAAGATCAGGTAGAAAGAGAGAGGTGATCCGAGACATGGTAGAACTTACAGGGTGCATGATACTCCGGTTATGAAGGTCATCCTGTTCAACAACATGTGATGAAGCTCCATTCACAAGACTGGCAAATGCAGGACTAGTTGTAAACTTCAATGCACCGTCGATTAATTCGCTTTTCCCATTAGAAGGACCCATTTGGACCGCGAACCGAGCCATGGCGTTCACAGCTGGATGATGGCGGCCAGCGATGGCGCATCCTAAGGTATCCAGAAAGAAGTCTTTCGTCTTTTGGACCACATCGTCGGGAATATCCCTATAGCGAAGGTTAGCTGCCCAGGTTGCAAGATGCTCAGTTCGTGTTCCGTCGACCATGGCGAAGAATGCAATTGACGACTGGGCTGTGAAACGTAATAGCAGTGGATCACTTGTTAAGTGAGGTTTGTCTCTTCAATACGTTACACGTGAGGGGTATCGAGGGTGCCCCTAGTGAGCACAACCCACTTTCCGAGGTAACTAACTTCAGTGCCGAGTACGTGTAGGCGACTTGAGTGGGGCATTGGCTGTGGACAAGCACTAACATGCCCGGCTTGCGCGCCTGGAGACCAAGCCATATAGCCGGTCCAATGTGGCCTATCGGCAAAAAAGTGGGGGAGCCGCTCAAAGCCCTGGGCAATACTGGTCAGTAGATAGAACAAGTAGGATGTAGCTACATTCTTTGCATAAATAGCTAATGAATATCGACAAGAGTCTGCAGTATGATATCATGATAAAATCTATTGCGATGCAGAGCCTGTATCCTCAACTGCATCCGCGCGATCCCAGCTCTCTACTTCAAGTGTCCGGACCTTGGTCTCAATGTCTAGAATACACTGTTGCCAATCTTTCTTCGCCTTCTCCTGCAGATGCCAAATATCCTTAAACTGCTCAAAAATGAACGGTGGTAGCTCAGGCGTCTTCCGGTTCCTTTGGTAGTCATAGGTGACAATATCCTCGTAACAACGAGCAGCAGGACGTTGCCGGGCTTCCGACATGATCATAACTTGCAGCTGAAAGGCCGACTGGGATGATAGCGATGCTGACGGATCCTGTACTAGCTTGTGATAGACAGATATCTTATCTGGAAACTTCATAGGCTGCAGGGGTATTTTGTTAAATCAACCGAAATGCCAATGCAAATTCATCCAAGACTTACAAACTTGTAGTCCACCTTGATGCTTCGCAATATAAGTCCAATGCCGGTTGAGCTGAGCAAAGCAAGCCACTTTTTCTTATTTGCTTCGTCGATATTGTTTCCAATATTACGGGTCCAGTTCACCCGAGCGGATTCGGCGTATCTGACGTAGTTGACGTTGTTGACATGCCCTGTTTGCAATCGAAGATTAGTTAGAAAAGCTATCAGTGAGTATGGGGGAGGATTCATGATCAAATCATACCCTGTTAATATATCAGCGTGATTCCAATTTCCAACGATTGTCTGCGCATTCAATTCTCCAGTTACAGTTGCAAGGGGTTGAGCTTACCATGACATCCTATTTGGCAGAAATACTTCAAGCGTTAGCAGATCCAGTATATATGTACAGACTGATATTTCTCAAGGTCGATTTCCTTACCATCTCTCCCCAGACCACGTTATGTCTATACAATCCTCGTCGCTTTCCATCTGTCAGGAATCCCTCGCTACCAGCGATCAATTCCCTCCAGTCACGCGCCAATTGCTGCAGGATCTTACCTGCATCATCGACTTGTGCTGGTTTGAGACCAAACATCATGCATTTCCCGACTCGTCGTTTCATCATGGTGAGCCATCGTGGATCGATCCCATGGGGTCGTGCAGGAGTGTTCGCCGAGGTCGGAGTACTGGCGTGTTGGTCGGGGGAGGTTGCAGAGAAATAGCGCCGTGAAAACGGTGAGACTATGTGGCAAGGCAGCTGCCTGCTCAGCGCTGATCGAGGTATCATGGCAAGCGATTGCAAGGAGAATGTGAAGCAGATCAATGCGATCGCGCATCGGGTGGACGGCAATGCGGCCTCGGAAGCTTGGGCCAAGTTTGGGTCAGACTCGGGGAGAACCCCGCGTGGCTTACCGTCGGCCCGCTTGCACTCACTACTGATACTAAACTGAATACTAGTATGTATCTTGTAGACTAAGCTTCTGAAATGTTCTCATTGTAATTTTTTGTTTGTAATACTCGAAAAGAAATATAATGATCTTGAAAACATTGTTTGGATTTGTTTTGCTTTGTTCACTTAACTTCATACAACTGCATTGCCAATTTTACTACCAAGCTAGGAACGAATACAAACTTTTCTTTGTTCATGATGGTCACAAAGCCAGAATATACCTAGGTAGGTACTCGAAATAAGATATGCTGAAGTATTTTGTGATTACTATATAAAGACCTGATGATACCAGCTCAAGCCGTATCATCAGCAGCAGCAAATCCAGTTTGGCCATATTGTGGTACTAGTACTTGCCAGTGCCTTTATTCAGTTTTCATCATGAGTGACTCGGAGCTAAAGATAATCTCTTGTCAAGGGGCCATAGCTAACGCAGGGGCCTTTGGCATTGATAGAGACCCTGTTCGCTCATTTTCTGAGCTTGCTGGAGAAGGGATGTTGCGACGTCGATGGTTAGAAAATGCCGATGAGCCAAACTGCCCGATTGAACAATCCACGCTAACCTATGAAGATTTGCTGGCAGCCTCTTCGGAAGTAGAGGATGTGAATGGAGATGACCAAATGAAACAAGAACTCGATGAAATGGAAGATCACGCCTCCGCAGTTCCTGATGACCTTCGAGAACTAATTCAAAATGCTCCCCCTGGTACATCTCACTACATCATGATTAATTCCAATATACGTGGTTCTAGCTTTACATGGCAAGGACTGATCGGACCAGGAGTTATGCTGATCGACCTCTTCGAGAGGGAAGAGAACAGTGCTGCTCCGTATGCTTCCGATGTAAGTCAAGCTCTTTATCGGCATTATCATCCAATGCAGTTATTGGGCTATATCTATGTAACGAGTGTAATAAACGGTCAAACAATCTCTTTTGTTAGAGATTGTCTATACGGAGCCAACGGGGATGATCACTGGCCATCAGGATGGCCAAGTGGCAGTTGTTTACGAGAGTGGAATCACGGCACCCCGCAGTTTGATGCCTTGATGGGCTCCAGAATTGGCAAGACAGTTGCCTACATCTTGCTCAGTGCGTTTCCTCGAGGCACTCGGCGAATCGGGAAAATCACTACGTGGCCTAGCGCAATCTCTGTTGATTTACGATTTGATATTGAAGCCTCTATGCCTTGAAGTTTTGAAGTTTAGGTATGTCTGCTAAGATGATTTTTGATCTCCTGTTTGTACTGTTTTCCTTTTGTCTTTGACAATACTCTCGTTACCCCCTATTAACTAGTTTTGAAATAAATGAACGTTTTCCTTTTGCCAATTACAAATTTTTGCCAGTAGAGCAGAATCTGTATATAAACGAGAGCAAAAGAAGACAGCTTAACTCCGATGAAGTTGTACGTAGAAAATATAAAATGCCAGAGATTCCTATTTGTAACTTCAACTTATGTAGATGCACGTGAGCGGAGACGGCTATATGCGGGGCGAACCTTGCGCGGCAACTTCTCCGCATCAACCATTCAAGTTGCCATCGCTGCGTTCACTAGACAAAGCCACAACGAATGGAAAGACGATGGTAGCACCTGAGCTACGCGGACAGGTAATTGCTGTCTACAAAGGTGAGGGCTCACTATACCATCAAAAAAATCCTGCAATCCTGCAATGACATCCGCATCGCTGGGGCCCCAACAGAGTGATGCTTACCTGAACTTGAAATAGAGCTCCTTTTTCTAGGCCGAGAGTACCCCCTCGGCTATCAATGGTTTCGCGATCGGCTTCATCGCGCATTTTCGAAACAATCACATGTCACAGACGAGGAGGAGATTCGAAAGGGTATTGCCCGCGCTGAGTTCGTGAAGAAAGGTGAGCCCCAATCTCAGGCTATTTCATATCCTAAGATGCCTCGGAGCCGTGTCAAGTTGGATGCTAACATCGATCAATCTCAGAGGTCGAAGCACTGTAAGCGAATCCCTCCATCACCTCTCTATCTATTGAGATCCGCAAAGTCCCGCGACGTCTCGTTATTGAAAGTCCTTGTCTACTTGGAAGATGGAATTTGAGATCATTCTTTGATTCTTTTATACATTTTTGTCCTATGGACAATACTGGGCTAGACACAGTTCATGATTCGCACACATTTCTGTCATCATACATCATAGCATCATGCGATCGCAACATTCATCTCCTGGCGTTAATGGCCGCTGACAAGATCTCTCAATAGGTACTACCTAAAGCGGTATCGAGCGCTGAAGAAGCGTTATGAGTCTTCATGACATGGCTTGCCAGTTCTTGAGCCATTTTCTCTGCAAAATGAGCTGCCCCAATCATTTGTATATGCACCCCGGAACCCCGGACAGGACCAAACAGAAACAAAGGTCACAAAAATAAGGATTAAACCAAAAAAAAAAATTAAAGACGAAAATTCACAAATTGGGGGGTATCACCAAGACGAAGCGCGATCACTGATCACTGTTTTTTGCTTTGCGCCCACCGAAAAACACCGGAATCGATTCTTGAACATGGTTTCTCTGGACAATTCATTTCTTTTGACCCCACCAGGCACTGACTTCGAGACACTCGCCGCTGGCGAGGCCTCCCTTTTGGAAGAGGTCGGTGGTCATAGCCGCCCACCATCTGTCCCACTCGTCACGTCCTTTCCCACTTGCTTCCATGAGCATGGGCTCTAGCCCTTCGATCATTTGGATTACAGTCAAGAGAGCAGTTCGTCGAATAGAAATCTGCTCCTGGGTCAAGGCTTTCTGGGCGCGGCCCTTGGAATCTTTTCCTTGACCTTCTCGTTCCCATCGTACTTCCCCGAGTGGAATGGCGATACGACGACTGTCGATGTTTTCCAGTAGATCTACCTCCGAATTGAATGATAGACCGATGGTCGCACAGGGCAAAGCTGTGATCTTTCGACGGTCAAATGATTTCTCGACCCAGGAATTGTAGTCCACCAGATATTTGTTCTGGGCCCTTGTGAACGGGGTGGCGGCAGAAAATGTATATGTTGCCGTCTGGTCGGCGATCTCCTGCTCCTTGGATGATGTCTTGCGCGCGGGTGCTGGGTTGGGCAGGAGTGAACGGAATACCCAATCTGAGTCCCAGACCTCTAGAACGCCCCCGGATTTCAAGACTCGGAGGGGTTCGCTCAGCCCGGAAGCTTGTTGCGCCGGACTAGACGGGCACATACCGGCATCCTTGATGAAGACGAAGTCGAAGTAGTCGTCTGGGAAAGGGAACCGGGGTTTGCGAAGGTCATGTCGTTTGAACTGCCAGTTCATGCCCTGTTTGCGTAGATCTGGGGCGAGAGAGACAAAGTCGATACCGTGGAAGGAGGTGTTCGGTTGCCCGCGCCGGACAAAGTATTCGTGGCACAGGCCAGACCACAGGGCGGAGCCGCACGCGATCTCCAGGACGCGCTTGGGCGGGCGATTGGCCAGGTGGGGGTTGCAAAACGGGCCGCCAAAGACGCGCAATAGCATCATAGTGCGCAAGCTCTGGCGGTGGATTTCGGGGAGGTCGCATGGAAGAGGATAGAGGTTTTCGGGATCGCGAAGGAAGGTGCGGTCCCCCTGGCGCGCCAGAGGGTAGTTGGAGTAATCGGTTAATGAACCTAAGGACGAGGAGGAGGTGGCGGCAAAAGTTGAACTGAGGTTAGAGTGGACGTCAGAGCCGGACGCCGCGGCAAAGGAGGCCGTCCCTGCCGACATCATGTCCATCACCGGTTCAAGCGCATTGATAAGTTGTCCCCGTCTTCAATATCTCCGTTCGCATTCTCGCAGTTGCAATTGGGGCGGGTTCATGAACGATAAGACATCCTTGTCTTATACACTGGAAATTGATTTGGATTTTTTCCCTTTTTTTTCGGATCCCTTGGAGACTGTCACCAAGTTTATGCTGGAAGAAGTTCGACCGAGGGGGGTAAAAGAGCCAACTGTTGAAAGAAAATTGGAAGTAGAAGAGCCGAAGCGATCCAAGCGGCTTTCGGAAAATATTCCTTCTTAGTGTCAATCGGGGCGCAGACCCCAAAATTCTGGAAAGGTAAAAAAAAGAGGGAAAGAAAAGAAACAGGAAAAAATAAAATAGGAAAAAAAAAGATCTTTTCCAGAAACGGATTAGAGACGGGATGAAGGGATAGGCGAAATGAAGATAAGAGTAAGGGAAGTAGTGCAATAGTAGGCTGCAGAACCCTCCGAGCCGCCGTTTCACTAGGTGGACGAGAACGAAGAGCTAAGAGAGAGGGGAAAGGGCCGAGAAGAAAAGAAGAGCAAGAGCAAGAACAAGAACAAGAACAAGTCGTGGCCCCTGGATCGCAAGTGGCATTGAACCGTATCCACTCGAGGGCTAGAAGGGGAGCTAGCTCCTTCACGTAATGGAGTATTAGTGATTTGTGTAGACTGTCGGTGGTATTCTCGGGTACTCCGGACTGCTAGTCACTATTGAGTCTCAGGCTAGGGGGAATCCATACTCGAGAAATTCATTCGTTAGGTATACTCCGTTCCATCGATACTCTCGTGTCGACTGTACGGAGTAGCTAGTGTTGACATCATCTACTCGACACGATCCTTTGGGCCCGGCTAGAGCCCCCCCCGGTTCCAGAGATTCTGTCGCCGCAATAGGTAAACGAATCGAACTGACTACATACTCGGTACTATGCATGGGTATACGGAGTACGGAGACATCATATTGTGTATGCAGCTCCGAACTATGTCTGTCTCGGAGCCTGGTATTCCAGTATCTGACATGTTGAATGGAATACGATGTCTACGTATGGAGTATGGAGTACGGAGTACACAATACTCCATCCCATTGACCTATCCCCCTCTCAAATGGCATGTTCAGCTGACACTTTTACCTTTCGCCTCCTCATCTTCAGTCTTTGCCCCTCTAGCGGGGTCGCCACGACCCGAAGGATCCTCGCCGGGGTCTCCGTCCGGTGCGTGCGTTTGTTGACACGTGCGACATCGGGGTAGATCCTGGCTGAAACTGTCTTCGGCATTTCGTTGTGAAGTTCACGCATTGATGCTCGGATAGCAGAGACCGAGGATGTAATGCGATGTATCACAGCAAAAAGTCCAGCATGGACCTACTACTCCATACATCCGACCTCTATGTACGGAGTACGGATTACAGAGTACGGAGACCCCCCTAATCATATGGATAGACCCTCTAGGGTGAAGACTGCTTTGTGGATTCCTCCTGAGTACTCCGTACTGTACATAGAATGGTCACAGTATTCCGTACGGATCCATACTGTCTCAGACGGAGATCCCTGCCCGCCATGTCCACCGTCGTCCCAATTCTCAGGTACCCGGCGCATCACTAGCGACTGCCCGGGCTTAGCCTCGCCTTTCTATCTGATACCGGGTTGCCCCGTGCCCTGATGGCGGTTGATTTTCTTCTCCGTTGCTCAGGCCTGGCCTTTGTTTTGTCCGGTTGTCTTATCCCTGCGCTCTGACGTTGGCAGACGGCATCTTATTGACACTCCCCCACCGATTCCACCATTCTCCTGGGTCCCTGCCAACACAAATTGGTACCTGCAGAACCAGCCAGGTAGCCGATCGACAGTACTTTTGCTTACGCACTTCCCAGAGTGTACTCGTGTGGACTCGTCAGATTCTTCACCTGCTGTGTTGGCCACCACTTGATTCGCTGAGTTTGACGCGAATATGAATCAGAAGCCTGGCGGTGGCGGCAATTAGCGGGGGCTCACAGGTGACCACGGGGGCCTTGCCAACTCAACAATGGCGACTTTTCCCACAGGCAGCCGTCCACGGGGGATTGGTGGCAGCGAGAGAGGCGAAATGCAGGGGGTGGGGCTGCGTGATCGACAATAATGGGAGAAGGTCATTCACGCCTCTTTTTGGGATTTACCATTTGGGGTTTGGGGTAGTCGAGATCGATAGTGCCGATGAGTTTGGAGATATTACTAGCTGCGTTTATACTTTCGAGCGCTTGTTAGTGCATCGGCAGAATCCCGGGGGAAACGGGCTACGATTACCTCCCGATAACGAGGGGCTTCTTTAGGGTAATTGGGGGTGCCAGGAGGAGCAGGGGCAGCACGTAGTCACTACCACAGAGTAGTAGCTGGTTATTATATGATAAATGTACATACTAAGCGAGAAGACGACACCCTGAATGGCAGGCTCCAAACACACATCCTTGGAAGTGTCGTACAGAAAGATCTAACGATGGAGTACACAATTAGAAATGACGTGAATCCGCATATGTACTATACATCAATCGAGGACTATGACACATCTCAATTAACGACGAGAAGATTCGTATAATATAAGGCGCGGAGGGCGATTACCCAAGGGTATTACACATTATCACTCTCTCCGATCCTAGGGTAGTCCTTTCCTAAAGGTTGGCGCTATCGATAATCGGGAGCACTATAACTAGGTATTGACAGGGCCAGAACAAAGGTTTTAGGTCAATGACCATTTCGATGAGTGAGCAGTGAGCAGTGGAACATAATTTAAATTACACTGATACTGATATGATACAAACCTGACGCCGGATTCCTAATAGTAAGTTTACTAATTCATGGTGAGATGGTTCTATCAAAAACGACTGCTCGCCTCATGTGGTCAGCTACTACTAGTACCCTAACTGGTACCACTACCACTAAAAGTAGGTACCAGGACAGATAGTCCTCCAAATCCTCAGCCAAAATTCGGATCGCAAACAAAGAGATACATTTTTTGGTATATTTTCTTTGAACCTTATTGTGTTAATTTTCCTACTTCATAGCACGGAGTAAATCGTGGGTAAGTGAATCAGATTCTAGAATCTAGTGTGGTAACAGAAGCAAAAACCGATACTGAACTCTTCAAAGAATCTTGAGATGATGGCTCATCAATACCATTCACCAAAAATACTCAGCCTGAAAGGCTCTGTTGAAACCGTTGCGGAAACACGATGGGAGCCGACAGGGTTGCTTTCAAGTTGGTTTCTTGGCACAGTCATATCCGGTGTGTATCACGTGATTGGATCTCCCGCCTCTCAAACCTCCAACCCAGCTGGGTCATCTGGTCCCTGCTATCAACGCCCCTCCCAACAAGACAATCGTACGTACTTGTCTACCCTTGGCCGTGCTGCTTCAACTATTCAAGCTATCTCAATCTAACCGTTCTCCGGCAATTAATTAGATTGTCGTCTTTACCATCTGACACATCCCACTTCCCGCCCTTTCGATATCGCCGAATCCCAACCGGGACGGTCTGCGACTCACACCTCCGCGCAAGGTCTGCTGTGGCCGCTAAACTCCAATTCTACTCTCTCATAAGGAGTGATTCAGCTGCAGGGCCCTATGTGGAAGAAGAGAAGAGACCGTAACCGATCGCCAACTCCTCTCCTCGTCTGCTCCACACCGAACCTTCTGCCACTCGCCCGCCCCCCCGGTCGTCCGCCAGGGAAATAAACCACGGTCTCGTCTGCCCCGTTAGATGGCAGATGGTACCTACAGGTTCCAGCAGCCTGGGGCCGGGCAGTTCTACTTCCAAACACAACCGCAGCAACACTCGCACCAACGACACGCCATTCCAAACGGGACCAATTCTCCGGGTCGACTGAAGTTCAGCCACGACACTCCTTCTCCTTCTCGATCTCCGCCTGTAAACCAATCAGCCGCGCTGAACCCTCTCACTATGTACGGACAGAGCCATCCACAGCATGTCATGATGAATGGCGGTCAGAGCCATCAGCGGTTTGCCATGCAGATGAACAACAAGTATCAGTCGCAAACTCATCACCCCCACCACACTCAGCAACATCACCACCCTCATCATGCCCAACCTCAGCACAATATCCCCCAACACACCTTTTCCGGCGGTGCCTTGGCCACAACGACCCCTCATTTCACGACTTCCCACCTTCAGAATGGAGGGCCGACCGCGGTAGATGACGATATGGACGATCAGATCAGCGAGCATTGGGCCCGGCAACTTCAACTCCACGTTGAGTCACGACAGGCCAATTCTCCCCACTACTACGCCCGGATCATGGCGCAGCAGTCCAAGGGTATCCAAATCATGCCCAGCCAAACCGACTCCTCGGATAATGGTAACGAAGCTCGGAATGGGACACCCGCAAAGAAAGCAGTCTCGCGGCAAGGTTGGAATGCGCTTGATTTTGGTGGTCAGGGCCTCCGCGCCATGGCTCCCACTCTCTTCAATTACAACTTCCTTGAGAAGCTGTATCTCAATCACAACAAGTTGAAGGCCCTACCCACTGCGATCGGACAGATGCGCAAGCTCACTCACCTTGACCTGTCCGGCAATGACCTCACCGAGATTCCCGAGGAAATCGGCATGCTTTCCAACCTCAAGAACCTCCTCCTCTTTGATAACAACATCCGCACCCTTCCCTACGAAGTAGGCTATCTCTACCGACTGGACACCCTGGGAATCGAAGGCAATCCACTCAATGAGGTCCTCAAATCTCAGTTGATGAAGGATGGGACGAAAGCCCTCATCAAATACCTGAAAGAAGAGGCTCCAGGTAAGTTATTAAATCATCGCATGCCAGGTTTTCTCATGCAGATCGACTGATTTCTCTTTTCTTTCTTTTCTCAGTTCATATCCCACCCCCTGACCGTGATTGGGTCATCCTCGATGAAACCGCAAGCACGACCAACAGTCCCGCCGAGAAGATCACAGTCCTATCTTATAACACCCTCTGCGATTCCTCTGCCACCGCATCCCACTATGGCTATGCTCCTGCCCGTGTACTTTCCTGGGAATTTCGCCGGGAACTCATCCTAAACGAATTACGATCCCATAGTTCGGACATTGTCTGTCTGCAGGAGGTTGATCAAGGAAGCTACAACAATTTCTTCCGCGAGCAACTTGCATACAACGATTATAAGGGTGTTTATTGGCCACGCGGACGTGCAATGGGCATGCAAGAAGAAGATGCCAAGACCATCGATGGATGTGCCACCTTCTTCAAGGGAAGCAAGTACATTCTGCTGGACAAACAGTTGATCAATTTTGGACAAACTGCTGTGCGGCGACCGGATGCCAAGGGACAGGATGACATCTACAATCGACTGTGGCAGAAGGATCATATTGCAGTTGTCATATTCCTAGAGAACCGACAGACAGGCGCTCGATTCATGGTTGTGAATGCTCACCTGTACTGGGACCCAGCTTTCAAGGATGTCAAGCTCATTCAAACCGCCATTTTGATGGAAGAAATCACAAAGCTTTCAGACAACTACGCCAAGTGGCCTCCTTGCACTGACAAGACTGCATTCCGTTTTTCTGAAGCTGAAACTGGCTCGGAGAAAGCCCCTGTTGTGGAACCTGCACCTTCTATGGAGTATTCCAGCGGCGACCAAATCCCGCTTCTCATGTGCGGTGACTTCAATTCCTCGCCTGGGTCCGCAGCATACACCTTGATTGCCAGTGGACGTCTGATCGAGTCGCACCCCGATCTAGAGAAGCGCCTATACGGCAACCTGAGTAAGGTTGGTATGACACACCCGTTCAAGCTGAAATCGGCATACGCTTCAATTGGGGAACTCAGTTTCACCAACTACACGCCCGACTTCAAAGACATTCTGGATTACGTGTGGTACTCCTCCAATACACTGCATGTGTCGGCGCTGCTTGGAGAGGTGGACAAGGAATACCTTCGACGGGTTCCTGGATTCCCCAATTTCCATTTTCCTTCTGATCATGTCGCATTGTTCGCGGAGTTTACTATTAAGGGCAAACGGGGTAAGGTTGTGGAGGCTGATTTTGGGCCCCAACGGCACTGATGCGGAGCATTGATCTTTCGAGACGGGTGTTTGTGTAGTCGGAATTCTCATCTTTTCTCCTTTTTAGTGCTTGTCATTTCGGAATCTTTGGTGGTGGTGGGTTACTTGGCCTGCTGTCTTATTGCCTTACGTCTTGTCTTCTACTTATCTTTCTTGTTGTCGTTTCTCCTTCTCTATTTTTCTTTTCTCTCCCTCCGTGATTATGAACTCGTCTCCTTTCCTGTTTTTCATCCTTCTCTCTCCGCCTCGCTTTCCTCTAACCTCTTGTTTTCAAGCATATCTCAGTCGTACCGGCTAGCCCATTGAAGAGGTTATGTTAAATAGCCGATCCGACGAGGTACTTTGCTTCCCTCCTCTCCCCACGCCCTGTTCTTTTTTTCCCATTTCTCGACTGCTCTTCCTGATGGGTATTATCCTGATATCTCTCGGTTTCATCTCACCTAATCTCTAACGTCATCTGAAACGGTTTCACGACGCTTAGGGCGGGGGTTGGTGTTCAGGTGGAACAGGTGGCCGAAGGGCTTTGCGGGTTTGCTCTTTTGATGTCTTTTTGTTTACGTCTGTTTTTTTTACCGGCGATGGGAGTTGTCTGGTCCATGTCCTGCCATACTATCTATCCAGTTGAGAATAGAGCATGGCCTTCCAAGTTTTCACTAAATTCCTAGTAACTAGTAGTAAGCAGTAGTAACATAGTACTTCAGACGTACTACTACTAGTATTAGATCTTCTTGGCCCCAGGCCCGCTTTCAAGTTCAAGCCCAGTGCTGACTGCTCAGCTCAGCTCAGCTCCACACCTCATCACATGTCAGATCAACCGTGTCGGTAAACATACTATCAGACACCCTAAGCTTCTAATCCACCACAACTTTTATTATTCACAACAGCCTTCCAATATTATCCATCCGAACGATGTCCACTGAAGAAGGTACCCATACTCTGCCCGATGGGCTAAAAGCATACTCCAAGACTTGGAAGGTTGGTCCAGGCTGCAACCCCTTGAAAGGATACCGATCTGACCGACTTTAAGACAAGTGAATCCCCTCGCGCAATCCTGGTCTTTATTCATGGTTTCAGTGATCACTGTAAGTTCCCATCGGTAAACACAAGAGAATCCACAATTTGAAACAAATCTCTGACTTAATCAGGTAACACCCACTATGACCTATTCCCAACCCTTGCCGCATCTGGAATCGAGGTGAGAGCCTTTGATCAGCGGTATGTGTCGCAACAGGTCCCGTAGAGAGCCATCAATTTATGATATGTCTCTTGGCCTGATAATATATCTGTCAAAAGAGTCAAAAATTAACTAACATTCCGAACCAGAGGCTGGGGCCGCACATTCAACGGCCTCAAAGACCGTGGTAACAGTGGCAGCACAACAGTCGTCCTCGCCGACATGCACTCATTCATCACCAGCGTCGCCACATACGCTGAAGCCCAGGGCATACCCCTCTTCCTAGCAGGCCACAGTATGGGCGGGGGCCAAGTACTGAACTATGTACTGCACCCAGACTCGCCATACCGCCAGTCAGGCGCGCAGCCCAAGCTCACTGGTCTGCTCGTACTGTCGCCGCTCATCGCACTGGATCCTGCATCGCGCCCTTTCAGCTTCGTAGTCACGGCCGGTCGAGTCGTCGCGAAGCTTCTGCCTCGGATGCAGCGCCACTCCCCCTCGACCCGGCCCATGTATCTCGAGAGAAATCAGTGATAGCTGATTTCCAGGCCGATGACCTGTGCCACGAGACTGGAACTTTTGGCGGTCTGGCTGGCATGCTTGATCGTGGGTTGTGGCTGGAGAATTTGTCGAAGAATCAGCTCGAGGGCATTGATGTTCTACCCATGTGGCTCGCTCATGGCGATCAGGATCGCATTACGAGCCACCCGGCTACGAAGCGCTTGGCTCAGTTGCTGGCCGAGAAGGGAGATGTCGTTTTCGCTTCGTACGAGGGTGCTTATCATAAATTGCAGGCCGAATTGCCGGAGACTAGGGCGCAGTTCTGCCGCGATGTTTCGAATTGGATTCTTGGTAAATCTGGGGAGAACCAGTCTAAGCTGTGATTATTCCAAATTCCAAGGTTGGAGAGATACTAGGTGGGCAATTTGAACATATTTTCAGGATTGAACTTTCATATATGTGACTAGTAGTATCTATTATACATTGATGGTGATGGTTTCGACAGAAGTTAGTGGTATTACAGGTTGATACAAATGGTATAGTACAATGGAGACAAGGGCATGTATCAGAAATCACCGGATGGGGAGATCTTCAATACGTCTCCAGATCCCTACAAAGCCGCCGCCCATGGTCCGCAGTCCGACCTTGGGTCGACAGACCATGACCATCTCATCTGCTTTGGATGGAGTTTCAGAAACAGGGATCTCGACAGAGTCTACAGCGGGGTCAGCCGACGCATCGTCGGCTTCGGCTTCGGCAGATGGACTCCACGAGGCAGGATCGGCTCCAGACTTCCTCGTCGCAAGTCGAACATCCCATTGCCGGCCGCCAGAGATCCCCATACCGAGCTCCACCACCCTCTCTTGGACTAGAGACAGATGGTGCTGGCGAATCAGGCGCACGCAGTCGCCAATTTGAGTAATACTCGGCACGAAGACAGCGAGGAAGCCATCACGTTTCAGCATAGGCGCAACATGCGGGATTCGAAGTTGCGCAGATGGCATGTCTCAGGATCGCGTGTGACAGGAACGGCTCGACCGAGCTTTTTCCTGTCAACGAAGATAACACGCCGGTCTTGGTACGCTGTTTCTTCTGCTCTGCAATCCAGTCTTCAACCGGGCCCACGTAGAAATCAACATCTCCACCATACATTCCACGACGGAATCCCTGCACGTTCTTCTCGGCAAGCTTCGAGAATTTGGCAGAGACGTCCACAGTGTGAATGATTGCATTGCGCTGCGCTCGCCATGTATCCCACTCCTCCTGCACTGTATCGACATCGGCAGTTTGAGCCTGGTCACCCTCAATTTGTTCCGAGTCCTCTTCTCCTGGTCGTTTAGCTCTATCTTCGAGAAATTGGATTTGGGATTTCGATGGCCGAGGCGGCGGAGTCGAGTTGGCGGCGTGGATGGCACGCGCAAGATGCAGAGTCAAGGAACCATGGCCGGTGCCGGATTCAAGAATTTCTATCTGAGGTTCGTTCACACCTGCGGCCGGGGTATTGGGGTGGAGGTCGAGAAGGGAGACGATCAAATTGGCGTCATGGGGGTAGATCTACTGGCGTGAGCAGCTGTCTCGACTGGGATCCATCCAATTGTTCAATCAGGCGAAGCGCATACCGGTGTCACATGGCGAGGTGTCAAGGCAACGTATTCATCTAGTGTTGGAAGACTTGGTCGAACGTCCGGACCTGTTCTTTGGTAAGTCACGTCGATCGCCATCGCTAGGGTACACCTGCGTACCTTTGTGAGCCTGCACATTATCCCAAACACGATTTCCAATAACACGATCATGGTCTAGATGTCCGCGACGAAGATTCGTCTTGTCACCCTTCTTCAATGGTTTCGTCAACACCGGTTGCTTATTGTGAAGCACAATGCGATCACCCTCTGCGCGTCTCTGTTAACCAACGTCCACAGACTGGGATGGAGCAGTCAATCTGGGCCTGCGTACCTCGAAAGATGGAGAAATTAGGGTCAAAGGACCGAGACCGAGGGCCAGCAGGACCAACAGCTGGAGTCACGCCTAGTAGTCGCTGCAATGACTGGAGGAGACGGGCCATGGCTGGAGCTTAAGATATCCAAAATGGGAAAATCTCTCTGCGGCGCCCAAAAGCCCGCGGTGACCCACCGAGTTCCACACCCCGGCTTCCCCCTCGCCGCTCACCGGGGACCCCTCCATTTAGATCTTTCATCCTCTACGCAATCGTTGATCTTGAATCTGTCCACAACTTACACCTCTTTGTCTCACACATTTCCAGTGATCCTTGTTGATTCATCTATCGCAATGGGTTCTACCGCGCTGCCTTACATGGCTACCCAGCCTAAGTTGATCTTTTTCACTGATTTCGACGGAACGATCACCGTCGACGATAGTGAGTACTGAACTATTCAACCCTGAGTCTGGAATTGAGTGCTCATACTGATAAATTCTGCAGGCAATGACTTCATGGTCCGTGTCTCGTTACCCCATATTCGCATTCCTCGACTGACGGTGTTCGCATAGATTGACAATCTCGGTTTTGGCCGCGAGCGCCGCCAACAATTGAACGAGAAGGTCCTCAACGAGACCCTTGGGTTCCGGTAAGAATGGAAATATCTTATAACTGTGCCAGGCGCTTGTTCTGACTCTGTCCCCTTTCGCAACTAGGGACGCTTTCCGTGAGATGCTCTCAAGCATCAAGACCCCCTACGACGAGTGCATCGCTACACTTTTGAAGAACATGAAGCTGGACCCATATTTCGAGAAGTTTTACTACTGGGCCCGTGACAACAATGTTCCTATCGTTATCCTGTCCTCCGGCATGAAGCCCATCATTAGTGCACTGCTCGAGAAGTTCCTCGGCCACAAGCCCGGCAACCACCTTCACATCGTCTGCAACGAGGTGGTGCCCCGCGACGGTAAGGATATCAACAGCGAGGGTGGCTGGCAAATCCAGTACCACGACGAGAGGTATGTCTTTTGAAGCGCCTTCCAACCTGGGGTTGTATTGAATGGTAGTGCTCACCTGCCGCTTCTAGCCACTTCGGCCACGACAAGTCCATTGAGATCAAGCCCTACGCTGCTCTGCCTGACAGTGAACGCCCAGTTCTTCTGTACGCCGGTGACGGCGTCTCCGACTTGTCGGCTGCTGCGGAGACTAATCTGCTTTTTGCCAAGGCTGGTAAAGGTATGTTGACTAGCATCTCTCGCGGAGTGGCATCAGGAACTAATTAACTTATTTATAGATCTGGTGACTTTCTGCGAGCGCCGAGGCATGCCCTACACAACCTTCCAGGACTGGTCTACTATCCTGTCGACCACTCAAGATATCCTTGCTGGTAAAGTGTCACCCGCTGATGTCGCCACCAAGAGTGCATAGATTCGACGGAACCTAAGAAAATTGGGAGGATTATAAATGAACCGGCCATTCCTTGATGGTCGATGACCAGTATTTAGATGACTTAGATGATATAATTGCACAAAACCAATGGTTGAATATAAAGAAATAGAGACCAATGGGTTCAGTTTCCAATATTGATCTGATATGTAGAATACTAATTATACTACGTACACCTTGGTAACACTTTGGTGTACCACTGGGAAAAAAGCGGAGAGAGTAATGACGGGAGGCGGAACACTTCAGGAGTTGGGGTGACCGCCTTGTGATTGCGGGTCCAGGCGTGGCCCAGCCTCGAGTGTCGTTGTTCCAAAACAACTATCTGCTTGTTTAACTTTCTCTTTCTCTTTTTTTTTGGTGGCTCCATGGCTCTGTAAGCTAACTGAACATAACGGTCTTCTCGTGGCCTGGATCTTATCCCTCTTCAACGTGGGTGGCATCATGCGACATTGCGTCTCCCACCTCTTGACCAAGTCCTTGCCAGGGTGATACCAGCTTCATCATGGCTCGCCGGCTCGTATGGCCTCCTTTTTCGGTACTCGTTGCTTCTGGTTGATATTGACTTTTGTTATTAGGTCCGTACGGGCGTACAGCTCGGCCTACTCGTCTCATTCGTCCTCCTCGTTGTTCTGTTCCTCGATAATCGATTCCGTGTCCTCCCCGAGTCCATCCATGGCCACCTGCCAATGCACTACTCTGGCTACGTGATAACCGATGTCACAATCATTAAATGTTCCTCACTCAACCCCTTCTCAACTTGCAACACGGACCTCGATCTTTGGCACCGCGTCCACAAAGATCTCTACCTGCGCTCGGGCTGGACCTCGACTGCCTATATTCAATTCCAGCGGAAGAAGGAAGAGGAGTTGGGTCCAGATGACCGAGTCGTTATTGATATGAAAATCAGTCGACTCACTCCACCGGCTGATTCCAGCGCCGCCAATAACGCCAAAGGCGAGGTCGAGGCCTGGGAGTCCCGGCCAGGTGGTATTTGGCTAAAGCGATCTTCTTCACGCCACGCCAGCGATTCAGAAAAGGCTGTGACATATATCGACGTTCTTTTTGGCGCAGATGCTGTGGATCCTCGCCCTAATTGGGAAGTAAAAGATACTCCGCTATTGTTGGATGGCTGGACAGAGAAATTGGAGACTCGTCTCAGTATTCGACGCGGAAACCCCACCAAAAGCAAGAGGCCTACCCCCAGGATCAACGAAAATGGAAAATTCAAGGTCATGCAACTGGCAGATCTTCATCTAAGTACTGGTCTTGGTGACTGCCGTGACCCCGTCCCTGTCGAAATTACGCCAGGGCAGAAATGTGAGGCCGATCCTCGAACCTTGGAATTCGTGGAACGTCTCCTCGACGAGGAGAAGCCTGATATGGTTGTTTTCACTGGTGATCAGGTCAATGGAGAAACGGCGCCTGATGCTCAGAGTGCCCTTTTCAAATCCGTGAAACTTCTTGTCGACCGCAAAATTCCCTATGCAGCCATTTTTGGTAACCATGATGACGAAGGCGACCTGAGTCGAGCACAACTCATGTCAATTTACGAAGACCTGCCCTACTCCCTTGCAACCGCAGGCCCCGAAGATATTGACGGGGTCGGAAACTATATTGTCGAAGTTCTCGACCGTGGAAAGAGCCAACACTCTGCTCTCACTTTTTATCTCCTTGACACACACTCATATTCACCCGATGAACGCCAGTTCAGGGGCTACGATTGGATTAAACCGAGTCAGATTCGTTGGTTCAAAAATACCGCCCAGAGTTTGAAGAAGAAGCATCGGGAATACTCCCACATCCACATGAATGTGGCTTTCATTCACATTCCACTCCCTGAGTACCGAAGCACAGACAGGTATTGGAAGGGTCAGTGGAAAGAAGCCCCAACTGCACCTGGATTCAATTCCGGATTCAAGAATGCTCTCGAAGAAGAGGGCGTTCTATTTGTTACTGGTGGACAGTAAGTTAAATCCGTTTCCCCTTCGTGGTTGCTTCCCTGCATATAATAACATATCTTCAGTGACCATGCCAATGACTATTGCATGTTAGACCAGGATTCCAACGACAAACCCTCCCTTTGGATGTGCTACGGCGGTGGTGCTGGCATGGGCGGCTACGGTGGTTACGACAATTACGTTCGAAGAATACGCTTCTTTGACTTCGACATCGGCCCCGGCCGTGTGACGACCTACAAACGTCTTGAATGGGGCCAGACTGAGGCCAAGCTCGATGATATGATGATTGTCGACGGGGGCGCCGTCAAAGGTTCCAGCGAATCATATTAATAGAGAACATATCTCCTTCCCTCTTCCCTCCTTCTTCTTTTCTTATTTGTCTACTTCTCTGCATGAGCTCTGCTCTAGTCATACTGTCGCTTCTGTGCTTACGGCCTTGTTCGTTCTACTCTGTACATATACTATCTTTCTTATTTCCAGTGGCCTGCAAGAGGTCGGCGTCTGTAAGGTGTCTATTTTTTATTGAATATTTAACATGTCCAATCTCTCAATTTTATGAACGTCTGTAGCTCCAATCTTGGGATTTCAACGCCTTGAGTTGAAGACCAGTTGTGTGCTGGACAAGTGTTCTGGGCGTTGGACTTGGCACTCACCACCACTTCTCGTAAAAGATTCGCTGTCCCTCTGGATCATCAATAACCTTCTTCAAGCGATCGACCATCTCATCTGTCATACCAGGTGGTCCGCAGATATAAGACACCGTCTTTCGTGGGTCCATTTCGCCATCTTTGTCTGTGATAGCTGCACGGAGATCATCTTCGCCGATTCTCCGTGGATGGATAGTGACGTCCGAGGGGCTGCTTGGCGGCTCAAGTAGACAAGATTTGATATTAGTAAGAAAAAGCTGTAGAGAGATGTTGAACTTCCGCAATTGCAACTGGGTACGGATGATCTGTCGAAGTCGCGATAGGAACAGAACCTGCTCCAGGACAGCCTGAGATGACGCGGTTTCGAGCCCATTCGGCAGTCGGCTGGAATAAAGGAGATGAACGTTGAGATAGTGGGCGTTAAAAGATTGGCTATTAAGATGTGACAAGATGGAGATGAGTGGGCTAGAAATTGTGTTAGTATGTACTTCTGTTCCCGATACACTTGATTGTATGCCAGTGGATATGCATAGATCCAATGATGTTGCTTGTCGAGGGATAGGAAATCATACTTGATACCAACGCCTCCAGCAACGAAAACAACGTTTTGAACCTTGTGGAGCTCAACTCCGGTGGGTGGCCAAACGAAGCTTCCTCCAACGCGAATGTTGACTTCCTTACCGAGGATATCGTCCTTCGGTTTCCAAAGCCACGCGGCAGATGGATTCGAAGGAGATTCCTGCACGGCTAGCTCCACATATGGAGAACGGCCTTGGGACGCCATGGCTATACCTGCCTCCTCGCCAAACATCGGCCCTGGTGGGAAATCAAGCGGCGGTAAAAGTTGAGCATCTGCAGGGGTAGACGTAATAGTAAAACCGCCTGCCTGGGAAATGGATGGGATATGAACATCTAGCCATTGACCAGGCAAAAAAGAGAATGGTTGTCCGGTATCCTGTAGCACAATGTATAAGCCTATTACCCTGACTCCTTTTTGATATTGTAGTATAGTATAGTTTGGATGGCATCTTTGGTTACGTGCTTGAAATTAAACACTCACTGATACCCAAGGCGCCTCAATTGAAGCTAGGCCCGAGATTCACTTTGGAAGAGACCACTAAGGTAGTTTTTCTTGAACTGGAATGGGTTGTTGACGTACGCTACTTTCTTGGGAAGGGATGGCGAACTGCAGTAGTCGAACGGAGGGGTTGACTTGCTCCACATGTGATAGACGCACAGGATATAGTCGGTTTTGCCGGGGTTCTGCCGCCGTGCGTAGCTCGTGCGGGATGGAATCCTCGCGCTGGGAGCTCATCTTGATACGTCTCTCCGAATGGAATTGCCTGGTTGATGGTTGGGGTTGGCCTTGGTGAAGCGCTAGTCGCTGGATTGGCCGATAGTACGGTCGGAAAGCTCTCATTAGACTCCGTCGTAATGCAGTGGGGATGCAACGTATAACCGAGGGCAAGGATATTGATGTGCCCGGAAAATGGGTACTCAAGTCACGCCCAATGATGTTGATTGAGTGATGGCGTGGTGGAGTAGCGGATTCTTGCTAATGTTAATGCTAATGCAACTGCTGTTGTTGTTGTGATGTGAAGTGATGGGAGACCACATGACTTCTTCTCATCACATTCAAAGGTACCACCTACAGTCTACATACACTGCCAACCCTGTCACCAAACTCTCATTTTCTCGCTTGCTATGATTGATCTATGGAGAGAAATGCTGACTCTGATGACAGGGGGCTCATTTCAATTTTCGGGTTCATCTATGTAGATGGGACCACCTTTAATACACCATCGATATGAAAGCACATATTTCACTCCATACAAGCACTTGGACTTGGGGCGGGATGCATGCAACAAGATCACACAAACACGACCTCCCCACCACAGCGTTTCGCCAAGCGCTTCCCGTCGCCATGCAACTAGTCCGAGTTTGTGTGCTGAAGTTCTTTGCGGAGTGATAGTGCAGATCCGCCTTCTCATCACACTCACTAGTGTGTGACGACCGGCAGCTCATCCCTCGATTCCGCCATCTCATTGGTGCCACAGCCCTGTTGGGGTGTTGGTGCTGGCGCTTTGCCGCCAGCAAGCATTGGTCAGATGCATCTCCCAGACACACTGCCAGGGCTCGCTGCATGCATTCGCGCTGCTGATTCGTGCCCCTCTCTGCAGTCCGGCCATGGGCGACGGAAAGGTTGGCCGTCTGAGGCCCTCGACTTCATATCTAACGCCCACCGTCCGGATCACCCAAACTCGTGCCGTTCTGATCTTCTTACCTTCCCGCTCAGAAGCTCCATCTTCTAGAATTTACATGCGAAGCACTGGAGGTCTCAGCCAGCCGGCCTGGCCAAATCGCATTGTAACTCCATTAATACTGTCGTCACCCGCCATTCTGGAGTAGAAGTGTTTCAGCCGGAGTTGATCGCGCTTGCTCGCCACCGCCAACATGCAGTTCTTCTTCCCCAGACAGCATCGGCACTACAAGCTGGCCTACTGGTTGATGGCCGTTGAGTTCCCCTTCGTGGTCGTTGTTCTCACCCTGACGGGCATTGCATCGCACAATACGTACCGGACGTTACTTTGGCAGGATGGTGCCGACAACGGCTTCAACAGCGCTCCTAATGAAGCACTATACGCCGCCGCCAACCACCGGGCCTACTCAGCGCCCATGGTGTGGTCATCGTTGTATGTCTTCTTTAGATCTTCTGGACATCCAGCGAACGAATCGCGACTGACTTTATAATAGTATCACCAATTTCAATCTCGTGATTGGTGTCCTAAGCACATTCATGCTGATTGTTAAACTACCCCTCCATGCGATGCATCTCTTCTTCCCTCCCATCGCAGCGGCGACCCACGGTTGCCTATTGGTACTCTACATCGTGGCAGCTCGATATCAAGCTGGCAGCGACACATCGGATCCGCAGCATCCACAGCCAGGACCTCCGTGGTATATTACAAAAAGCTGTAGCGTGGCTGCACACAAATCAAATCTTGGATACTGCATGCAAGCCAAGTCGCTCTTTGCAATTACTGTGATTGTCATGTATGTGAACCTGGTCTTGACACCATGGATAAGAAAGCTAATATTTCCAGCAGTGTGTTATATGCCGTCGATTTTGGAATCAGCGTTCACTCCTGTTTCATCACGAAAGAAGAAAAAGAGAAGGTCTTGGAATTGAGAGAGGAAAAGCGCGTGGAAAAAGAATTCGAGGAAGAGATCTTGAAATCACCCAGTATGGTTCCTATGTCGGCACCCGGGATGATTCCTCGAACCCCTGGGTTTCCTCCCATCGCCTCTTCGCCTGTTGTGAGACACGGGGCTCCAATATCGCCCTTCACCCAACGTCATTTGGCCTTCAACCGCCTTGGAAGTGGTAGCACATCGTCCGATCTCCCATTAAGGAACAATGGCAGCATGCCGAGTCCTCAAATACCATATCAGCCGCCAACACCAGAGGCCCAGGGGTCATCAAGCCAACCAATGTACTTCCCGCCACCGCCGAAGAAGGCAACAAAGCATTAAATTATTCGTGCTCATGCGTTCTGAACTAGCATCTCTCGCCCATGATACCATCTTTTCATTTTCATCGACTCTTCCTTTCTTTCCTGGCCAAGACTCACGGTGACTTCAACCAGTTTTTACCTCTTTCTCAAGGAGCCCCCTACACGAGACTTGGTCGAGCAGGAATGGCCTTCCGGGGCATTAAAATACGCTTAGTACTCCGTATATATCATATGAAGGCGTTTTAACATGAGACTGCTATTCCAGATTTAAGAGCTGGAATATAGCACCATAATTATTTATCAATCAACAAATGACAATGACAAGAGAAACAAACTTGTAAACTTCACAATGATCCGATCCCACCGTATGTCGATGAATAACGTGCAAAGAGAGACTGCCTTAAACCGAGAAGCCCACAACTATTAATTGCAAATCGAATTCGAATAAAAACAAGTCATGACTTCATTAAATAATGGCAACCATTCACAGGAGCACCGCCGACTCGGTGCTTTCACGCAAAAGTGTGAATTACCAGTGAGCACCAGGTTGATCAAAAGGTCTAGTGGACTCCAAGCAGATTTCAATTATCGAAACGGGTATCTTAACGAGACCGACCAGAAGGCAAGAAAATCAAAGAATTCACCACCATATGGCCACCGGAAAACCAGTAGGTAAAAATTGATAAGGAAGGGTTCATGTGGAATCTTGGCGTTTCTTCTCTTTTTTGGACCAACGCACTAAAGGGAGGAATGCTGGTTAGTTGGATGTTGGATCACGGGGATTGTTGCTCAACTCACGACCACAGGCATTGCAAAGAGTCTTAGGACCACCAGGGCCTTTTCTCCACTCAGGAGAGTCGGCCGTACCACAGTCGCCACAGACGTGTTGACCCTTCAGTCTCTTTCGGCGGTCACCTTCTTGGGCATTGCGTGCTTGGTCCGCTGCTGTTGTGATATCAATATCACAATGCACCAGTCTGCCCCGATTGAGACCGGTACTGAGACCATGCGATCTTTCGCCATCGCCATAGTAGAGACCGGTCATAACTTCAATGCCATCGATATGAGAAAAGTTTTGAGGACGTCGTGGTGGATCATCTGAGTAGAAGTCGACAGTGGGGTTCTCGTCAGACGAGTCCGAGTTGGGAGCGACAGTCTCCGTAGATTCTTGATCGCTCAAGACCACTTGGTTAGTGGCAGGTGGGTTCTCGCTGTAAGATTTATCTTCATCGAGCTTGCCATACGGCATACGAGTTATAGTTGCCTCTTCCTCTTCCTCCTGTTTGAGCTTGGCAATCTGTTGGACCAATCGCGCGTTTTCAATCTTATGTTCCAGAAAGGAGTCGAGGAGCAGAGATGTTTTGTTGGGATAGGGCCGGCATACAAGGAAAAAACCCGCGCATCGATCTTCACTAGACTCATTCCGGCCCTGGGACGGGTTTTGGCTCGCGATGTGTGGATGCCCATAGATTTCGACGAGGCCATGTGTGCTGTTGGTCTTCGAGAATCTCACATGAGTCCGAAATGGTTGATTGGACGTGACTGACTCGGCCATGTCCCGGATAAAGATATGTTTGTCATCGTCGTGGATGTATTGGGTAAGGAAGGTGCCCTCAAACTGTTTCGCGGAGCGACCGGTAATTTGTTTTGCTGATGGTGACGCATAATTGATGCGACCCTCCGCGCTGAGTAGGACAAGCATGTCTTTCATTTCCTCCAAGACTCGCTGGATCCAACCTGGATCATTCGGGGTGGCATATGCCCCCTGCTGCTGGCCCTGAAACCCATATTGACCATACGACCCTGGAGCATTTGATTGCTGAGAAGAAGGATAACCCGGGTTCTCCTCGTTGGAGCCAGTTCGGGACGGCGGGGCGGGCAAGGGCATATTGTCGTAGGAAGGGTGTTGTTGGCTCAGTGCCATATCGAGTAAGGAGAAGTGCGTGGAGCAGATAGGGAAAGCGAGAGATTAAAGTAACATGCATCCAGAGCTAAGAGGAGGCCACCCTGGAAGTTTAGGGATCACGAGAGATCGACGGGCGCATTCCCTGGAGAGGTATCAAGAGCCACAGCTGGTATAGATGTATGACGGAAATGACCATTCTTGGCCAGGCGGGTCTAGAGGAGAGGATACTGAAACCACGAAGCAGGCAAAGGCAACTCGACCAAAGATTTCGATTTGGTACTCTTTCGTGCCAATTGCACGGATGGTCTGGGCTCTGGGAAGGCGAAGTGGGAAAAAGAAGGAAACATGAGCCGAGCCAGTACTGTCAACCTGCGCTCGCCGATCTTATGTGGGGGGGGTCGGTGCTGCTTAATAACGGTCGGTACACGTGACTTCGTGTCGCAGAGGCGCGACGCTTCAAGTGGAGAAAGCTCGATACATCACAAATCCACTGACGAACCGAGCACACCCCAAGACGGTTGGAACAGCGCTAGCACTGGATGCGTGGGTGGCAAGATTACGACCATCACATTTTGTGAAATTCCAAAAGCGCCCGCTGTGCCGCGCGACCCAAAAAATGTAAGTGCGGAGCATTTCCCCGCGGACTTTTGACAGTACTAATTAACCAACAGGTGTAAGTGTGGTCTATTCACGAGTCACCCAGACCGAATCTGATCAGAGACATGATGAAAAATAGCAAAGATCGATAAGCTCTCGATTTTGGGGTATGATCTTGCTGATATACCTGCTACATGGCGATGTGCTAATCTATATATCTTGGTTTCTAGAGTTCGCTCCTTCGATAACACGCGCAGCGAGACCATCCAATTCCACACCCCCTTAACCCTCATCGTTGGATACAATGGATCGGGGAAAACGGTACGAGAAATAGAGCCTCGCTCGACAAACGCAAACAGTCCTAGGGCTGACAGCATCTAGACCATCATCGAATGCCTCAAATATGCCACAACGGGCGACCTCCCTCCGAATAGCAAAGGCGGAGCTTTCATCCACGACCCTAAGTTATGTGGCGAGAAAGAAGTTCTCGCACAGGTGAAGCTTTCCTTCAATGGCACCTCTGGCGCAAAGATGGTTGCGACACGCAGCTTGCAGCTCACGGTCAAGAAAACTACAAGGCAACAGAAGACACTCGAAGGACAGTTGGTAATGGTAAAAAATGGTGAACGTGCGTCTATCTCGTCACGAGTTGCAGAGCTGGACCAGATCATGCCCCAATACCTAGGTGTTTCCAAAGCAGTCTTGGATTCCGTCATTTTCTGTCACCAGGATGAAAGTCTGTGGCCAATGAGCGAGCCATCTGTACTCAAGAAAAGGTTCGACGAGATATTCGAAGCTATGAAGTACACCAAGGCAATCGACAATATCAAAGGCCTGAGGAAAAAGCAGAATGAAGAGCTGGCCAAGTTCAAGATCATGGAGCAGCATGCTAAAGAAGACAAGGACAAAGCCGACCGAGCCGAGAAGCGATCCGTCAAGCTCCAAGACGAGATTGAGGCATTGCGTGAAGAGACTCAGCAAATGTCAAAAGAGATGCGCCGGGTCGCGGAATTGGCTGACAAGGCATGGAGGGAATCCGAGAGCTATGCCCAGGTTCTTGGCGCCCTTGAGGGAAAGCGAATTGAAGCGAAAAGCATCGAGACGACCATTGATAACCTCAAACGACATCTGGTGGAGCTAGATGACTCCGATGAATGGCTTGAATCTACCCTGGAGCAGTTCGAGACAAAACAAATTCAGTATCAACAACAGGAAGCAGCTCAAAAAGAAAACTATATGGACATCAAGGAGCAGATTGAACAAACCAGACAACGGTTAGGCTTGAAGCAAGCCGAGAACGGCAAATACGAAAACGACAAGGCAAATTTCGAGCGACAACTACAGAGGCGCCAGAATATGATCACGGAGATCGCTCGCGGAAACAATATTCGCGGAGTCGACGACAACATGGACCAGAGCGATGTTGATGCATTTATGCAGAAGATTCGACGTTTGTTGCGTGATCAGAACCAGTCTCTTGACCGTGTTAAAAGAGAGGCACAGAAGGAGCTTCGCGAAGTCCAAGATATTCTTAATGACATCGGACAGAGGAAGTCTGCTCTTCAAGAAAGCAAGAATGCCGCGAAGCGACAGATCGCAGCAAACGACGGAGAGGCAGCTACTTACCAGAGAAAGCTCAATGAAATCGACGTTGACGAAGGCATACAAGGCTCTTTGGAGGCCAAGTCAGACGACATCACCACGAGTCTTGGCCACGCAAAGAAACGAGCTACAACTGCTTCCTGGGACCAAAAAATCCAGGATGTCAATGCTCAAATCCAGCATTTAGAAGACGAGGGTCTGAAGCTGAATAATGAGCTGGTTGAATCTTCCAAAAAAGCAAAGGAACTTGCTCAACTAGAATATCTCAAAAAGGATGCCAAGGAGAAGGAGCGGAGCCTGCAGACAATGAAGGGAGCTCATGGAGAACGTCTTTCGAAGGTTGTCGGTGCGGACTGGCAACCCCACACTCTCGAACAAGAATTTCAGCATGTTGTGGATACTGAAGCCAAGCAGCTGGCGGATGCTGAGCGGGACCGTGATGGCGTGAGCCGGGAGTTAGAGCAAGTAGAATTCAAGCTGAAGAATGCGAAGAAGACCTTGAAGCAGCGCCAGAAAGATCTGGATGACTATGCCAAAGAGATCCGCGAAGCTATTGAGGCAGAGCCTTCGGAGTACCCTGAAACACTCGAGAAACGCCAGGTCGAATACGACCTCGCCCGCAAAGATGCCGACCAATTTACTGGAATGGGTACATACCTCAACAACTGTCTCGACGCAGCAAGACAAGCGAAGACATGTCGAACCTGCGCTCGACCGTTCAAAACCGAAGCAGAACTTCAACGCTTTACCAAGAAATTGGAAGCCCTCGTGAAGAAAGCAGGCCTTGATGCTGAAGACGAGGATCTTAAAAGCCTCGAAGAAGAACTTAAGATTGCGCGTGAAGCTAGTGCATCATACGATTCATGGACTCGCATCAAGGAGACCGAAATACCAGAGTTAGAAAAGGAGGAGGAAGAATGCGAAACACAACGAGACCAACTTCTTGACAAGCTCGAAGGACATGACCGAAAAGTTAGCGAAGTGTCTGAAAGCAAGCGAGACGTTGAAGCCCTCAGCAAGACAGTCAGCACGATTGTCAAATACGATACCGAGATCAAGACCAACATGTCGAAGGTCGAAGAGCTTGTGGCGAAGCAAGAAGACATTTCCATGGGCCGTACTTCGGACGATATCCAGGATGAGCTCAAAACTGCGAACGAAAAGTCTCGTGAGCTAAAGAAGACCCTCACAGCACTCACGACCGAGAAGGAGCAGACGCAATCTGAGATGAACAAGCTGGAGCTTCAGCTTAGAGATGTTCGTGACTCGCTTAATAACGCCAAGTTCCAACTGGAAAAGAAGGCGGATCTGCTCGTCCGGATGGAGGAATACAAGAAACTCAACTCCCAGCAGCGTGAAGTCATCGACAAGGCCGACAAAGAGATTGAAAATCTTTCGCCAGAGCTGCTGCAGGCTCAGATCCGCTATGATGATATCAGCCAGCGGGCAGACATACGTGAACGGGATTTGCAACATGAGATCAACCGTATCTCGGAAAGTATTCACCAACTCGATCTCGCGAATGACGATATCAATTCATACAATGAACGAGGTGGCCCAAGCCAGCTCGAACGGAGTAGTCGAGAGCTTACGCAGATTGAAGCTGAGATTACCAAGCTTGAGGCTGACCAAAACGAGATCACACGAGAGATCAACAAAATATCTGCCCAGCTCAAGGATAGCGAAAACACAAAACGGCAGTACTCGGATAATTTGACATATCGCCAGGCCACTCGGTCTCTGGGCAAGGTTATGGAAGAGGTTGAACAGCTCGAGGAGCAAAATGCCGAGGTCGACCGCAGCCGATTCAAGCAAGAGTCGGAACGTTGGACCCGTGAACACAATGCTCTTGCTGCCAAACAAGCCAGCAAGATGGGTGAGATGAAGTCCAAGGATGATCAATTGATGCAACTTCTGGCAGACTGGAATACAGACTACAAGGACGCCTCATCCAAATTTAAGGAATCTCATATCAAGGTAGAGACCACAAAAGCCGCAGTAGAGGATCTTGCACGGTACGGAGGAGCCCTTGACAAGGCAATCATGGCATACCACGGGTTGAAGATGGAAGAAATCAATTCTATCATTGGCGAACTCTGGCAAAAAACCTACCGCGGAACAGATGTCGATACGATTCTCATTCGGTCTGACAACGAAAATGCCAAGGGCAACCGCTCATACAATTACCGGGTCTGCATGGTCAAGTCAGGCGCGGAAATGGACATGCGAGGCCGCTGCAGTGCGGGTCAAAAGGTTCTGGCCAGTATCATCATTCGTCTTGCGCTGGCAGAATGTTTCGGTGTCAATTGTGGTCTTATCGCTCTTGATGAGCCAACTACGAACTTGGATCGTGACAATATTCGCTCGCTTGCCGAGTCACTCCATGATATCATTCGTGCTCGGCAGCAGCAGTCCAATTTCCAGTTGATTGTCATCACTCACGATGAAGAGTTCCTGCGCCATATGCAATGTGGCGACTTCAGCGATTATTACTACCGCGTTTCTCGAAATGAGAAGCAAAAGTCGATCATCGAACGACAGTCAATTGCCGAGGTATGCTTATAATATTATACAATCTTGGGATGTCTACCCAGACTAACATAATGCTTGCAGGTTATGTAATTTGATTTATTTCGGCGGAGCTTCTTAGTAACTCAGTAAAGCCGTGCATTTAGCGTTCAAGCACATCTTGCTCATATCCAGGCCTCGGTGGCGAGGAAGGTCATGCAAACCAATGCAGTTGATTTCTAGTGAATAGTGATCGGACACATAGAACCGCTACTATCTTTCCAAAGTTTCTTTAGCAATAAACGAGAAAA